TTAGCATTCACTTCCTACGATGCTTGAAGATTCCTTGTCTACAAAATGGAGCGAACGAAGGTTGCAATAAGTCTACAGCTGACTTGAAGGCACATACACACTTTACAAGATGGGGAATTTGGCTGGGCTGTGCAACCACTAGAGGAAGGAGAAGGCAACTTTTGTTCCTCAAACTTAGCTCTTTCCCACCCCTGTAATGGGCAGGATGAGGGCAAACAAATGGAAACTTAATCCGGACAAGAAGATCCAAGTCTTAAGGGGTTTCTGTAGTTTTCAGTTCTGAATACTGTATATACTTGAGTACAAGTCTAGTTTTTCAGCCCCTTTTTTAGGTTGAAAAATATCCCCTAGGCTTATACTCGAGTCAAGGTTATTTTACTCTGCTATTAGTATTATTTTTATTACATTTATTATTTTACTCTATTATTATTATTATTATTATTATTATTATTATTATTATTACATTTACATTATTTTACTCTATTATTACTTTTGTGGCATTTATTACTTTACTCTATTATTGTTATTATTACATTTATTAATTTATTATTATTACTATTATTATTAACTTTCCATTATTTATTATAATTTTTATGACATGTTATTACATTTATTATTTTATTCTATCATTATAGGTAATAGGTAAGCACCAGGCTTGGTTGATCAAGGGAAAAATGGTAGGCTTGGGTAACTACGGAAAAATTTGGTTCTAAACTCATTTTGTTTTTAGGGGGCCCTTGCGTTTCGTTTTTTTTAATAATTCTGAAATTTACATTTAAAAAATTTCGAAATTTACGAAATTTCGTAAAATTACGAATCGATTCGTTAATGGCGGACGAGATTGCGCAATATGCTAAAAAAACCTCCAAATGGGACAGGAGGAACTTCTGAAGCTTCCCTCTCCCTCTGTTGTTGACTGTTGGTGTGATGAAACAAACAACAACTATAAAACTTGCACCAGACATGCGAAAATAATTACAAAATAATTATGAAATAATTACGAAATAATTTCGAAATAATTACGAAATAATTACGAAATAATTACGAAATAAATTGAAAAAATTGTTTTGAATCTTAATTACTAGGCTTGGTTGATCAAGAAAAAAATTGGTTCTAAAATCGATTTGTAATTGGGGTGTTTTTTTGTTTCGATATTTAAAATAGTTACAAAATTTTCCCCAAAAAAAGTTCGGTATTTACGAAATTTCGTAAATATTAACGAATTGATTCTTTAAGATGGCGGACCCCCGCGCATGCGCAAAATCACTTCCGAAGCTTCGTTATTGGCGCGGAGGTCGATTCGTTAAGGTTATAACGAATCGATTCGTTAAAACGGCGGACGCGATTGCGCATGCGCAAAAGCGACTTCCGAAACGTCGTTATTAAATACGAATCGATTCGCTATTGAAATAATAACGAATCGATTCGTTAAAACGGCGGACGCGATTGCGCAATGCTAAATGCTCTATAAACAAAATCATTTCATAAAATAAATCAAATAAAATAATCAAATAGAACAAGATATTAAGATATTAAATAAAAAAGTAATAACATAAAGTATCCAAAACTGAGTCAATTTAATAATATATAATGAAATAAACAATAATATAATAATAAAATAAATAAATAAAATAATAATAAATAGATAATAATATAATATAATAATAACAATAATAATATAAAATAGATAATAATAATAATAAAATAATATAATATAATATATTATTATATATATTATATAAATGAAATAAATAATAATATAAATATTTAAATAAAATATAATTAAATTTATAAAATATTTATAAAATATAATTATAAATAAAAATAAAAATAATATATAAAATTAAATTATAAATTATTAATATATAAAAATAATGTTATTATAAAAACTTAGAAAGTAAATATAAGAAATAAATAAAGAAAAAGTAACAAAAAGTAACAGAAATTGCACTTTGAAAAAACTCTGAAAATTATCTGGGAAGTATTGCATAGCATTGCATTTCTGTAGCAGTATTGCAAGTTAAGTAAGAAGGACCAACTTCACATTTGGGGGTGGTGTATCTTAATGTGCATCCTTAGCCCTGTTGTGGCAAGATGCCTCATATCTTTTCCTCTGCTGACGCTCACACCGCAATGCCTGCAAACTGCCAAAGTGGCCCTCTCATTATGGACGTCGTAATGATCCCATAGGAGCGATCTCGGCCTACCCCTACTAGGCACTTCAGATGTACTCAGGCTCGTGTTTGGACTGTCGGTGTTTGTGGAAGGGAGTATAATCGTTGGTTGTTTCTGTAGCTCGCCCTCCATCAGCATGCAGTCCTCTTGATCACTAATTCCTGTGGTGGAAGCACATTTCATCTTGTCTTCCTCCCATTCCTCTGACACGTCCACCTCCTCGCCCTCCTCTTCATAACAAGTAGTATCAGAGGTACTTGGAACGACATCAGGATCTGAACGTAGAGTCTTTCGAACTGATGAAGAAGAAGGTTCTGCCATCTCACAGCTGGTTGAAGCATCTGTGGGTGTTTCAATAACCATCTCGTTGGATGAATGTTCCCTTCTTGTCAATGTGTTCATCTTCAGTCCCCTGCCTTTCTTCGGTATTCGCGATAGCACTTGGCCCTTGCGACTAGAAAAGCCGGGAAGGAAGCGTTTCATCACACTGGTTGGAACTACACAAATAATGAGCAAAAGGAGCGCACTGGTTGGAACTACACAAATGAGCGAGCACTGTATTATAGCACTTTGTGTTGGCAAAAGGAGCGCACTGGTTGGAACTACACAAATGATCGAGCAGTGTATGTAGCACTTTGTGTTGGCAAAAGGAGCGCACTGGTTGGAACTACACAAATGATGAGCGAGCAGTGCATGTAGCACTTTGTGTTGGCAAAAGGAGCGCACTGGTTGGAACAACACAAATGATGAGCGAGCAGTGTATGTAGCACTTTGTGTTGGCAAAAGGAGCGCACTGGTTGGAACTACACAAATGAGCGAGCAGTGTATGTAGCACTTTGTGTTGGCAAAGGAGCGCACTGGTTGGAACTACACAAATGAGCGAGCACTGTATTATAGCACTTTGTGTTGGCAAAAGGAGCGCACTGGTTGGAACTACACAAATGATGAGCAAGCACTGTATTATAGCACTTTGTGTTGGCAAAAGGAGCGCACTGGTTGGAACTACACAGATGAGCGAGCAGTGTATGTAGCACTTTCTGTTGGCAAAAGGAGCGCACTGGTTGGAACTACACAAATGATGAACGAGCAGTGTATGTAGCACTTTGTGTTGGCAAAAGGAGCGCACTGGTTGGAACTACACAAATGAGCACTGTATTATAGCACTTTGTGTTGGCAACAGGGCCACACTGGTTGGAACTACACAAATGAGCGAGCACTGTATTATAGCACTTTGTGTTGGCAAAAGGAGCGCACTGGTTGGAACTACACAAATGAGCGAGCACTGTATTATAGCACTTTCTGTTGGCAAAAGGAGCGCACTGGTTGGAACTACACAAATGAGCGAGCAGTGTATGTAGCACTTTGTGTTGGCAAAAGGAGCGCACTGGTTGGAACTACACAAATGAGCGAGCACTGTATTGTAGCACTTTGTGTTGGCAAAAGGAGCGCACTGGTTGGAACTACACAGATGAGCGAGCAGTGTATGTAGCACTTTCTGTTGGCAAAAGGAGCGCACTGGTTAGAACTACACAAATGATGAGCGAGCAGTGTATGTAGCACTTTGTGTTGGCAAAAGGAGCGCACTGGTTGGAACTACACAAATGATGAGCGAGCAGTGTATGTAGCACTTTGTGTTGGCAAAAGGAGCGCACTGGTTGGAACTACACAAATGATGAGCGAGCAGTGTATGTAGCACTTTGTGTTGGCAAAAGGAGCGCACTGGTTGGAACTACACAAATGAGCGAGCACTGTATTATAGCACTTTGTGTTGGCAAAAGGAGCGCACTGGTTGGAACTACACAAATGAGCAAGCACTGTATTATAGCACTTTCTGTTGGCAAAAGGAGCGCACTGGTTGGAACTACACAAATGATGAGCGAGCAGTGTATGTAGCACTTTGTGTTGGCAAAAGGAGCGCACTGGTTGGAACTACACAGATGAGCGAGCAGTGTATGTAGCACTTTGTGTTGGCAAAAGGAGCGCACTGGTTGGAACTACACAAATGATGAGCGAGCAGTGTATGTAGCACTTTGTGTTGGCAAAAGGAGCGCACTGGTTGGAACTACACAAATGATGAGCAAGCACTGTATTATAGCACTTTGTGTTGGCAAAAGGAGCGCACTGGTTGGAACTACACAAATGAGCGAGCAGTGTATGTAGCACTTTCTGTTGGCAAAAGGAGCGCACTGGTTGGAACTACACAAATGATGAGCGAGCAGTGTATGTAGCACTTTGTGAGCAGTGTATGTAGCAGTGCCACGGTGCACTGCTTGGGTGCTTGGGAGCGCCGGATTAGCTCCCAGGGCACCAGCAGCCTCCATCCCATTTACGAAACGGGCGGAAGCTCGTTAAAACTATGGGGGTTGCCGGTTCGATATTTTTAAACCCTTCCGGGTTTGAAAATGTGTTTTGTTATCGTTTCGTAAATGCTAAAAATAACGAATATTTAACGAATTACAAAATTAACGAACGAAACCGCCCAGGCCTATTAATTACTCCTCACACTATTCCTGCATGGCTCAATATTGGATCGTAAGCTAATTTAAATACGAATTAATAACGAATTACGAAATTAACGAACGAAACCACCCAAGCCTAAAAAATGGTTCTAAACTCGTTTCGTATATAGGGGGCGCTAGCGTTTCAATTTTAAAATTATTTCTCAATTTTTCTTGAAAAGAAGATCTGAAATAGCAAAAATCTGAATAGCTTTGTTTACTTCGTTAATGGAAGGCGCCCTTCCCCCCTGTTAGTTTAAAATCTCGCAGTTTCCCTGCGGTTTCCCCCAGTGGCCGTCAAGAAGAGCTGGGCATAGCCTCACCCACCTTGCCCTTCCGCATCGCCGCTTGTTGCCAGGGAGGCCAGGGAAACTGCGAGATTGTAAACCTTGACCAGACATCCGAAAATAATTCCGAAAAATTGGTAAATTGTTTCAATTTTTCAATTTTTAATGTAAGCTGCTTTGAGTCTCCTTGTGCAGAGAAAAAACTGGGTCATCATCATCATCAACAACAGCAACACAACATTCTGGAATCCTATCATAAACCTTCTAAGAAATGTATTAAGTGTTTGTAGCTGCTTCGTGTTACTGGTGGTTCAAGAATGCCGTAGTCGATGAAAAACATGAATCCATGGAACCCATCCTTAATGTGATGCCACGTCACTGGCACGCCATTGTCTTCTAGACGCTTCTTGTACAACAGGCCATCGTCTCGGAGAATGTCGTGTTCACAGGTTATCAGGAAAGTCTCGGGGAGCTGACGGATCATGTCGTCTTCAGCCATAAGTGGGGAAAACATGATATTGCCGGCTTCCTTACACTGCTCATAAAGGTCTTGGCTAAACGGAGCTGGCTCCATCGGCACGTAACCCTGGGCTTTAAATTCTTCTGGAATGTAGTCTGGGTTGATCCATTTTCTGTATTTCACCCATTCATCGGGGGGCACATGGGCGTTCCTCATAAAACCATCCACATCCACATTCTCCCCGGTCAGGTAGATGATGCCAAGTCGGATTGCACGTTTCTTAAACAAGGGGGGCACAGAATGGTTTTGCTGATATGAAGGCAAATTGAAATCCAATACCTGGAGGAACGGGTAGAGTAGGACCTGAGCTCGGAGCTTTGGGAGATCCTTCTTTATTGCTAGTTGTTGGCTAACAGCTGCGGCGTATGTGGCGCCGCTACTGTCTCCACAAACGACAATGCGATTCGGATTGACTCCGTATTTTGTTGCGTTTTTCAAAAAGTGTATAGTAGCAGTGCAGCAATCTAGAATCTGGGCTGGAAACAGATGCTCTGGAGCCAAACGAAACCTGAAACAGAAATGAGAAACCGTCTGAATTCATAACATTATGTAACACGATGCTTATTCCTGGGTTATAAATGCCGTTTCCTCCAAAATATTTTTTAAAAAGTCCTTGTCTACCTCTTTTACTTTCCCTTCTTTTTCTCTCCTTTCTTCCTTCTCTCCCTCTTTCCTTCTTTCCTTCGCTTTTTGCTTCCATCCTTCCGTCTTTCCTTTCCTTCCCTCCCTCTTTCTCTCCTTTTATTCTCTACCTCTTTCCTTCCTTCCTTCCTTCCTTCCTTCCTTCCTTCACTTTTTGAGTTCATCTTTCCTTCTCTTTCCTTCCTTCCTGCTTTATCCCCTTCCTTCGCTCCCTCTTTCCTTCCCTTTCACTTTTCCTTCTCTTTCTTTCCTTTCTTCCTTCTCTACCTCTTTTGTTCTTTCCTTCGCTTTTTGCTTCCATCCTTCTGTCTTTCCTTCCCTTCCCTTCCCTTCCCTCTCTCTTTCTCTCCTTTTTTTCTATCTCCTTCCTTCCTTCACTTTTTGATTTCATCTTTCCTTCTCTTTCTTTCCTTCCTGCTTTATCTCCTTCCTTCACTCCCTTTCCTTTTTCTTTCCTTCTCTCCTCCCTTCTTTCTCTACCTTTCCTTCCTTCCCCCTTTTCCTTCCTTTCTTTCTTGTCTATCTCTTTCCTTCCTTCCTTTGCACTTTGCTTCCATGCTTCCTTCTCTCTTTCCTTCTTTCTTTCCCTCCCTTTCTCTTCTTTCTTTCTTTCTTTCTTTCTTTCTTTCTTTCTCCCTTTCCTTCATTCATTCCCTCCTTCCCTCTTCCTTCCCCTTTCCCTGTATCATCATTTAGCTTTTTGGGGTTTTTAAATCCTTTCCACTGTTTTTTTTTTGGGAGGGGGCTATAAGTGATGGTCACTCATTGGTCTGTTAGGGGTATAGTGTCCAAATTTCATGTCAATTCATCAACTGGTCTTTGAGTTATGTTAATCCCACAAATGAACATTACAGTTTTATTTATATAGATTTTTATCTTCTTCTTCCAGCCACTCCAAACTCTTTTGTTTTGCTAAACTTTCTACAATATATCTTATTTGATTTGATTGATAATATAACTTGAGGTTTGGGAGTCCAAGACCTTCCTCTTTCTGAGATTTATTCCATAAGCTTTCATTTATTCTTGCTTTTTTGTTCCCATTACAATACAAATTTAGCATGTTTTGCCAGTTTTTTATTTCTTGATCTGAAATTTCTACAGGTAGCATTCTGAATAGAAAATTTAGTTTGAGTAATATCTTCATTTTAACTAATGCTATCCTACCGAACCATGATAATTTTTGTTGTATTCCATTAATTTCTTATCAATTTCCTTTCCTAATTTGGTTAAATTGTTTATTTCTATTTTTTAAATTCTTTAGTTGAATTCATCCCTAAATATTTGTTTGTTTAAATTTTATTTTTATTTTACCCTCCTGTTTTATATTTTTATCTCTTCTTCTCGATAATTAAATATCATCATTTCTGATTTGTTCCAATTAATTTGTAACCCTGTTATTAATCCGAATTCTGTTAAATAAGCCTCAATTTTCTCCCATTGTTTTATTGCATGTTCCATTGATAAAAGGGTATCATCTGCAAACAAATTTATTTTATATTTCTCTTTTATTCCTATTCCTTTTATACTACCTTGTCTTAGTACATTAGCTAATAATTCCACTACAATTGCGAATAAAATTGGGAAAAGAGGACATCCCTGCTGTGTGCACGTTATATCTATTTTCCCTGTTAAACCATCATTCACCATTACTTGGGCATATTTTTTTGAATATAATTTATCAATTAGGTTTCTAAATTTTTCTCCAAATCCAAATTTATCTAGTATTAATTTCATTGTCTGCCAGGATACATTATCAAATGCCTTATAAATATTTTTAAATGCCATTTCTTAATTGGTTCCATCATAAAAACATGGAAAAAAATTATTAAACTGCCAAAACGTTGTTTTTGTGAGACATCATGTGTAAAGAATGCATGAAGATCAGAAAAAACAGACCTGAAGAGTAAAAATTGAGTTCGCACAAAGCATGATATGCGTCGGACATGGCCAATGAAGCAAGGAAGCAGTAAGGCATAGTTGAATAACGATGGACAATAAGGTGTGCAGTAAAGGCATATAAGGTGTGCAGGTGGTACCCCATAAGTCATATGGTCTGGAATGTGAATGTCTTGAAACTACGAGAACGAAACTACATGTTCACCCAAAGAAAGCCTGACTTTAGGCCAGGGGTCCTCAAACTTTTTAAACCGAGGGCCAGTTCACTGTCTCTCAGACCGTTGGAGGGCCGGACTGTAGTTTTTTTTAAAAAATCAATAAAAAAATTCCCATACACATTGCACATATCTTATTTTGCTGTGTGGAAAGGCCCTTAGAGGGGGTTCTTTCTAGCCCTCTTTAGGCAGTAATTCCAGGAGCAGAGAATGGGAAATCTTCCTATTTCTAGTCTGAACAAAATCTGGCTACCAGTATTTAAAAAACTCTAAAATTATAACTGTAAATAAAGAACAACACTCAAACACAGGGGAACTCCAGACAAGAAACAATCAGGGCCAGCTAATCACCTCTCAACAAAGGATTCTCCCTAAAAACTGTCAGGCTATGAAATGGTAATCAAGGTGGCCAATTGAAACATTCATACCTACCTCCAACAGACAAGAGTTCTTTCTCCCACCCTGGATCTTCCACAATTTTCCTAGTTAAAGGTTTTCCTCTGACATGAAGTGTCTGACTCTGGGGTGTGGTACTCATCTGCATTTCTAAGTCGAAGAGCCGGCGTTGTCCGTAGACACCTCCAAGGTCATGTGGCTGACATGATTGCATGGAGCGCCGGGGCAGCCTCCCTTGGCTGGCTCACGCTGCCCATCGGGCCCCATGGGCAGCGTGAGCCTGCCAAGGGAGAAGCAGCCCCACGCGGCCTACTCACGCGTAAAACACCTCACGAGGTGCTTTACGCGCAAGTAGGCCACGCGGAGCAGCTGCCCTTGGCTGGCTCACGCTGCCCATCGGGCCTGATGGATAGCGTGAGCCTGCCAAGGGAGGAGCAGCCCTGCGCGGCCTACTTGCGTAAAGCACCTCGCGAGGTGCTTTACACGCGAGTAGGCCACGCGGAGCAGCTGCCCTTGGCTGGCTCACTCTCCGTCAGGCCTGACGGATAGCGTGAGCCAGCCAAGGGAGGGGCACTGTGTGGGGGGGGTCGCTCTTCCTCCGTGGGCCGGATAAGTGCCCTTGGTGGGCCGGAAGTGGCCCGCGGGCCGTAGTTTGGGGACCCCTGCTTTAGGCTATAAATGTCAGACTGTAGGATCTATATAGCAATATTAAATAACCACCCACAAGCTGTTTTGCTTTGAAATGGATATGTTATTATTATTATTATTATTATTATTATTATTATTAACTTTATTTGTACCCCGCTAGCATCTCCCGAAGGACTCGATGCGGCTTACACAGGCCGAAGCCACAAAACACAATATAATAGAAATATGTTGCTTGTATCTCTGCAGCAAAGAAAGACACTACTGATTTCCCCACCACCACTTCCTTTTATACACCTTTCCTGCCCATCTCCCCCTCTTCTCAGTTTCCTTATTAGAACTTGTTCCAATACAAGGTTTCCAGTGCCCTCTGCTGGTTTCAAATGTCACAGAGAATTGATTTAGCTAGGATGATTCAGTCAGGATGTCACAGAGGGAATTTGTGATGTCTTCATACCGTCAGAAATTGACTCCTGACAAAAAAAGCAGGTGACCCCCAAGATTAAGCATGTTTTCTGAACTGCAACAACGGAGGGGCCGACCCTCCCGAAGGAGGCTGATCATCTTCATTCAGAGAGGCCTCTTGTGAGTATGGTTGAGTGCTTGAGTTGAATGAAGAGAGCTCTCTCTTGATGTGATTCAGATGTGATTCTACTCAATAAATGTTACATTAAAAGTGGCAAAACCAAATTTGGTCTCTAAGGAGTCTCATTGATCTAAAATATGAGGGGTATTTTTTAAGTAAGGTCCGTTTTGTTGTAGACACTAGTAATTCACGCGCATACTGCAACGAGCGCGTGCGTGGTGTACCGGCATGCCTCGGGAACAACTGTGCTCAGTTTCCGCTCTGTAGCTAACCTGTACAGTTCTGTTCTGTGCTTTAAAAATGTTTAAGACTATCAACTCACCCGCCGCATGTGAGGTTCATCGCACACTCAAATCTTTGGTTTTTGTGGTCCTCTGTTAGGAGTTTCGGGACCCAACGGGAGCACAGTTTCCTAAACTTTAGCTGTTCAGAAACAATGTTGTAAAGCACTGATCTTGACACGTCAGGAAATTCGTTTGAGAGACCTGTTATTGTGAAGCACCTCTTTTCACAAATCCTCGCTTCAACTGAAGCCACCAAATCATCTGTAATCAAAGAAGGGCAACTGGAGCGGTCCTCATCATGGACGTTGTTACGGCCATCTTTGTATTGTTGTACCCACTTATGCACTTTGCTTTCACTCATAACAGTATCACCGTACACTTCACAAATCTGTCGATTAATTTCTGCAGCAGGCAGGTTCCTTGCTGACAAAAACCGTATCACTGAGCAAACCTCACATGCGGAGGGTGAGTTGATAGTCTTAAACATTTTTAAAGCACAGAACAGAACCGTACAGGTTAGCTACAGAGCAGAAACTGAGCACAGTTGTTCCCAAGGCATGCCGATACACGATGCACGTGCTCGTTGCGGTATGCGCACGAACTACTAGTGTCTACAACAAAACGGACCTTACTTAAAAAATACCCCTCGTACATCACTATTCCTTGAACACCCTGCATCAAAAGAATATGAACCATTTGGGTTCATAACACATGCAGCACATTTTGAGATAGTTTTTCAATGAGATAGGCATGTGTGATCCATTAAAAATGGCCAAACGCGTTTGCAAGAAAGGTGGGATCGAGAGCAGGGCCTCCCTGGATGACCTTAAACTCCGAGGTGGGATGTAGAGGTAGATACGTTCAGACAGGTAAGCTGGGCCGAAACTATCTAGGGCTTTATAGGCCAAGACCAGCACTTTGAATTGTGCCCCGAAGTGGACCGGCAACCAATGGAGCTATTGATCGGCTTGTCCCCATGTAAGCCACCCTGAGTTCCTTCAGGGAGATGGAGGTGGGATACAAAAATAAAGTTACTCTTATTATAATGAGTCTTAACCCATTCAACATACGAGAGTTGAATGAAAAGTAATGCCTCCACCATCATTACTTGGGTTTGGATGGGAATATTTTAATAAATCAAACGCAGAAATAATCCTTAGAATGTAATCTTTAACTACCACTATTCACTTTCCCACATAATCACCAGACAATTGGATACATTTCTGTCGACGATGAACAAGTTTTCTGAAGCCGTCACGGAAGAAGTTGACACTCTGTTTCCGCAACCCATCGTGCACAGATCTTCCGATAGCCAAGCAAAGCAATAATGTGACCCACACGTTCTTGTGAAATGCCAATTATGCTTGAAATTTCTCTCTGAGTGATACATCGATCGTCCTGAATCAATCTGTCAACCTTTTGCTTGTGAAACTCAGTGGTCGCTGTCACAGGACATTCAACTCTTTGTCAGATGTTCCCACCGCGACATCTTACTCGCCCAACGACACTCAATACTCACATCAACACAATCCCTATCAACAGCTTGCATCCTCTGAGGAATCTCCTTTGGGGTGGCATCTTCTGCTGTGAAGAATTCAATAACTGCATGTTGCTTAAGTCGCATTGACCAACTATCTGAGCAGGGTTCCATACTTCGCACTTTAACAACACAACCGTTCAATGCTAAGGCTTCCCGCCAGAATGGAATAGTAGGGGAGAGTCTACTGAACAAGTTAGTATCTGCCGTATACGTTGCTTAAGTCGCATTGACTGACCGTCTGCACAGGGTTCCATACTTCGCACTTTAACAACACAACCGTTCAATGCTAAGGCTTCTCACTAGAATGGAACTGTAGGGGAGAGTCTACTGAACAAGCCAGTACCTGCCGCATACCAGTACTGCCAACTGTGGAGGAGTTACAAAGGTGGAGGCATTACTTTTCATTCAACCCTCATAGATTGTGGTAGCCACAAAAATAACGTTTCTCGAGTAGAAAATCTACTTGCAAAGTAAGGACCACACAATTAAACAGGAATAATACTTTCAAACCAGGAACAAAACATTTCTTAAAATTCATTCCATAGTGTGGACATTAAGTGTGAACAATATGATTTTGGAGGATGTCAGAAAGGCAGATAAGGATGCTCAACCTATTTTGATAGGATCACACCACTAGAACAAGTTGCTCTTCCATAGAAAATCAGCATTGTCATGAACTGAAGGCACTTACCCAACACTCACAACCACAGTATCGCCTTCCCGGGCAATGTAACGGCTCATCCTTTCATGTGATCCTGAAAAACATATCATTACAAGCAATTTACTGAGATGTTTCGTGAGACGAATGTCAAGGCTCGTTTTTCCATCATTTTTATGGTTATGAAGATGAAACTTGTCACACTTGTAGGCAACGTGGACGACTTTAATCCTGCTAAGTTTCAGAATGTTTTGATCATCTGCTGATTTTTAGGAAATTCTTAAAATTTTGCGGAAAGCTGTGTGATTGGCTGACAAGGAAAAAAGCATCATAGAGCTGCTGAGTGAAGGGAATGCAGAGCGAGAGCTGGACCATAAGCAAAGGAAGATAGATGCTTTTGAACTGTGGTGCTGGAAGAAAATTCAGAGTGTGCCTTGGACTACAAGAAGATCAAACCAGTAGACATTAGGCTTGGGTAACCACAGAAAAATTTGGTTCTAAACTCGTTTTGTTTTTAGGGGGCCCTTGCGTTTCGTTTTTTTTAATAATTCCGAAATTTTCCTTTAAAAAAATTTCGAAATATACGAAATTTTGTAAAATTACGAATCGATTCATTAATGGCGGATGCGATTGCGCAATATGCTAAAAAAAACCTCCAAATGGGACAGGGGGAACTTCTGAAGCTTCCCTCTCCCTCTGTTGTTGACTGTTGGTGTGATAAAACAAACAACAACTATAAAACTTGCACCAGACATGCCAAAATAATTACGAAATAATTATGAAATAATAACGAAATAATTACAAAATAAATTGAAAAAATTGTTTCGAATCTAATTTACTCCTCACACTATTCCTGCATGGCTCAATATTGGATCGTAAGCTAATTTGAAATACGAATTAATAACGAATTACGAAATTAACGAACTAAACCACCCAAGCCTAGTAGACATGGTTAGGTTCAGTCGGAATCTTCGTAATTCGGAATACATTCGAAAAGATTTGCTTTTTGAAGCGATTTTTAACTTTTTAAGGAAACCGGAAGTCCCTTGCTCTTCCGAAGCTTTTTCCGCCATTTCTGTAACAAAGCGGTAAGTGAGTTGGAAAATGGTTCAGTGTTTCCCTGTCCTTGGCTCAAGCCTGCATAGTGTTTGAAAACCCAGTGGGTGCCTTTGCTCCCTTTAGTCCCCCCCCTTTTTGGAGTAAAACAACTACTTTCAAAGTAAAGACCACCCAATGAAACAGGAAATAACACTTTCAAACCATTAAGGAAGGATTCGGAAGTCTCGGAAGTTTCGAAATGTTTTGAACTTTTTTTCTGTGAAAATTGGAATTGACTTTAGAATCGAATCACCAACGCCCCAAATGAGTTTTGAACCTTTTTTTTTTTTTTGGATCAAACAAGCCTACAAAACAGTCCATACTCCAGGAAATAATGCTCACTGGAAGGAAGGATATTAGAGGTATATAATGAGAAGGCAGGAAAGCTTGGAGAAGATAATGATGCTGAGGAAAATGGAAGGAAAAAGGAAGAGAAGCCAACCAAAAGCAAGATGGGTGGGTGTTATCCTTGAAGTGAGTGGATTGACCTTGAAGTAGCTGGGGCTGGCCACGGCCAAGCTCAGGTGTTGGCTGGTCCAGGTCACAAAGAATCAGAAATAACTGAATGAATAAACAACAACAACAACACACATACATACTTCTGGCTCAAGTCCCTGTGCCAACTTACAAACCAATTTTACTGAAGAGCAAATCTACAGAACCCCTATTGTTCGTAACTTGAGACCTGCCGGTATTCCAATTTCTAAACAACATAATATGATCAACCAAGAATCAAATACACTGTTCTCATAAAAAGACAAGGGGAGACTTTGGCATCCCAGATTTTAAGTTATATCATGAGGCGAGTGCACTTGTATGGGTTGTGGAGTGGATAAAGTTACGTAATGAGAAACTGCTTTCATTAGAAGGCTTCGATTTAAGGACAGGATGGCACGCTTATGTGTGGTATGAATGAGAAAAAAAGGAAAAGGGATTCGGAAATCACTTTATAAGATCTGCTTTGCTAAAAACAAAATATAAAAGACATTTTTACTCAAAAACTCCATCATGGGTCTCTCCCATGGAGGCGAATCAAAGAAGATTATTGGGTTGGTTAAAATGGCCGACATATAAGGATCTACTTATTAAAAACACAGAATTATTAAAACCCCATGAGCATATAAAAAAGGAATTCGAAAACATTTCCTGGTTACATTATATGCAAATTTTGAACTATTATAATCAAGATAAAAAAAATAGGCTTTAACTTAGAAGAAACAGCGTGGGACAAAATTCTCCAAACTCAGAAAAAAAATAATAACCAAAATCTAGAATAAGTTATTGGACTGGGCGACAGAAACAGAAACTATAAAAAATTGTATGATTAGATGGGCGCAAAATTTGAAGAGGCCAGTTCATTTAAGAGAATAGAAATTAATTTGGAATAAAAAATTAAAATATACCTATGCGATGGATCTAAAAGAAAACTGGTTAGAGATGTTTCATAGATGGTATATGGCTCCAAAAAAAAGACTTAATGTATAAGAATATGGACAATAAATGCTGGAAATGCCAGGAGGTTGAAGGTAGTTTCTTCCACATGTGGTGGACTTGTAAGAAAGCACAAGAATATTGGAGGAATATACATATAGAGACACAAAAAATATTAGAAATTTCATTTCCTAGAAAACCGGACTACTACTTATTAAATATCACAGATTTGGACATTACTTTAGATTCAAATATATATTATAGATTCAATATAGATTCAAAGATATATTATTTACATACATAGTAACAGCCGCAAGGATAATATTTGCAAAGTTTTGGAAAATGGACAACTGAGGCGAGGGAGAGGGATTATTTCCTTTTTAAAAACCTCTTTGCTGCCTTATACTGATTCAGTTTCTTCTTTTATATTGGCTGGGACTTTCTGTGTGCTGTTAAACCTTTCTACTTTATATCACAGGCAATGAAACACTCTTGTGTATAACAAAGTAACCCAGTTTATTTATAACTTCTGGCTCCAATGCTTGTGGTTACATTTGTGTTTTGTTGCAATCTTGAGGCTTACAGTCAGTATCATTTACTTGGTTAACTTTTCTGAATAAACTATCAACGTTTCACATTCACAAACATGTTATTTGCTTTACACACTCTTGGCTGAATTATATTCTGAACTAAGGCAACACTAGCCTTCTTTATGTTCCCTAAAACTCGAGCTCTATTTAACTAACTGCTCTATATCAGAAGTCTTTAACACATCTTCATAACTGCTTATTTCTATCAGGCACTCAAAAACCAATTCTCCTCTTCACACACAGATTCCTAACTGTCATTTTCAAATTCCCTCACTCTAACTGCCTCTTTCAGAACCTTGGCTCCACCCCTTTGGAATGCTCAGCTCTGCTCTCCCCAACTGTCATTTTGGCCTAGCAGCCTTTTCAAATCCTGGGCCTACACTAATCTGCATATGACCAATCGGCTTCCCATATGCAAATGAATCCTATCTCTGCTGTTGCTACCCTGTCTGTGTCTATTCTTCCCTATCTGCCATATGTAAACATAGAGCTATACACCAAAACTTTAACATAGAGTAGCAATTTCACTACAACAACACACTGGAGGTAGAAGATTGGTTAAATAAAATTCAAGAGATTAAAGACATGGATAAACTAACTTTTTTTGTTGAGAAAGAACTTGGGAAATCCAATAAGAGAGACTGGTCACTTTTTGAAAAAAAATAAAGGAAAAGAGAGAAGAAGATACCAACGGTTGAATAGACTCTTGTAAGTGGTCAAGGATAATGATGGTTGAATAGTAGATATGCGGGCTGTTAAAGAAAGAGCCGTTGGGAAACTGTAAGAAGTAGATACTGAAATGAGACAATAATTAACTAAGCGAAGTCACATAATGGAAGTCAACAATTTATTTTTGATTTTTCCTTTTTTTCTTTTTTTTCTTCTTTTTCTCTTTTCTTTTTTCCTTTTTCTTCTTTTTTGTGTGTGAATATTTTAAATCTGAAATTTCCTACTTTCCTATAAAACAATGTTCTCCCACTTTCCCTGTAATTTTTTTTATGTTTATGTTTATATAACTCAATAAAATTCTTTTTAAAAAACCACCCAACATAATATGATCAATAGGCTCCTTTGTGGGAACTTACGAATGCTTCCAAACAAGCCACATCCCCCATGAATGTAAACCATTCCTCTTCTGTTCCCAGCAGATGGCGTTTTGGGCCAATACACCCGCACAGGAATCTCGTCGAAGAATAAATCCTTGATGATCAGCTTTGAGGTCTTTTTAGGCGCTATTCCATCCATTAGAACCCTCCAGACCTTATATCGATAGCAAATGCCAAGTTTCTCGAGGACCAATGCCTATTCACGAAAAGAGATAGAGAAGTTAGTATAACACGCATTTAGGATTGAAATGAGGCAAATTAAAATGAGGAAATCCTATTAAAGCAGGCAAATAAAAATTAAAGAAACCAATTTAAACCATTTCTCTCATTTGAATAATGGATCCTTAAGATACTGGAATGCCACGCCTGGCTGCTTCAAAATCGGGCTACCAGTATTTTGAAAAACTCTAAAATCAGGACAGTAAATACAGTGTTTCCTTACTTATCGTAGGTGTTACATTCCAGGAACACCCGCGCTAAGTGAAAATCCGCAAAGTAGTTACGCTATATTTATTTTAATATTTATACTTTAATTTAGTTGTTTAGTAGTTATTAGGCTTGGGCGGTTTCGTTCGTTAATTTCGTAATTCGTTATTAATTCGTATTTAAATTAGCTTACGATCCAATATTGAGCCATGCAGGACTACTGTGAGGAGTAATTAAAAATCGAAACAATTTTTCCAATTTATTTCGTATTGTTTCGTAATTGTTTCGTAATTGTTTCAAAATTGTTTCGTAATTATTTCCGTATGTCTGGTGCAAGTTTTATAGTTGTTGTTTGTTTTATCAGTGATAAAAAATAAATTATCACACCAACAGTCAACAACAGAGGGAGAAGGAAGCTTCAGAAGTTCCCCCTGTCCCATTTGGAGGGTTTTTTAGCGTATTGCGCAATCGCGTCCGCCATTAACGAATCAATTCGTAATTTTATGAAATTTCGTATATTTTGAACTTTTTTAAAGGAAAATTTCGGAATTCTTTAAAAAAAATGAAACGCAAGGGCCCCCTAAAAACTAAACGAGTTTAGAACCAAATTTTTCCGTAGTTACCCAAGACTAGTAGTTATACATCTTTAAAGTCTTTAAAATAAACCCTGTTTCTGTTTTACCAAGTATTCCTCCTCTTCCTCCTCTTCTTCCTCCTCCTCCTCCTCTTCCTCCTTCTCCTCCTCCTCCTCTTCCTCCTCTTCCTCCTCCTCCTCCTCCTCCTCCTCCCCCTCTTCTCTTCCTCTTCTCCTCTTCCTCTTTCTCCTCCTCCTCTTTCTCCTCCTCCTCCTCTTTCTCCTCCTCCTCCTCCTCTTCTCCTCCTCTTCCTCCTCCTCCTCCCCCCCTCTTCCTCCTCCTCCTCTTCCTCCTTAAGGTACTCATGTCATATGTTCCACAGTTGATAGTGGTTGGTGGTGGTAGACTTGGCAGTTTGTGATGGAAGGGTTAATGTAAGTCTTGTTTCTAAAGGGCTGAGTAGTTTGTAAGTAACAGTTTACAGGTAAAATCAATTAAGGGTGGAGGTGTGCTGGAGATGGGTTGCAGCTGGGTGTTACGGGATTTAAGGAGCTAACTTTGAGACTGATTTTTGGGAGAAAAGTATCTGTTGTATTTTGGTGGTGGACGCTGCTGGCTTTTCCCCCAGGTCTGTTGGATTTTTCAGTATCCTGACCTGTCTCCTGTAATCTTGGAATACTGGAACCTTGAACCTTTGGACTGGCTTTTGACTACTGTATAGACTCTTGATCCCTGGACTCTGTTATTGAACTCTCGGCATTTGACCACTGGACTGGACCCTTTTGACTACGAAATTATTTTTACTATCAGTTTTTGTTTATTCTGTAGCTGTGTGCTATCTTTGTGTTTTATATTTTAGTCTATTAAAACATCCAGCAAGTAAGTGCTGTTTTAATTAAACTGTTTGATAAAACTGGGAGTTTTGATTCATCTCTACCTAAACAAGGTAGAACCCTGGCAATGTGACAGAATACTTTTTCTCCCAAAAATCAGTCTCAAAGTTAGCTCCTTAAATCCAATAACACCCAGCTGCAACCCATCTCCAGCACACCTCCACCCTTAATTGATTTTACCTGTAAACTGTTACTTACAAACTACTCAGCCCTTTAGAAACAAGACTTACATTAACCCTTCCATCACCAACTGCCAGGTCTACCACCACCAACCACCATCAACTGTGGAACATATGACATGAGTACCTTAAAAACAAAAGAACCAATGAACGAAATCACCCCAAATTTGGCAACAAAATGTCTCACAACACAAAGAGTGACCATCACTCAAAAAATTACGATGTTGTCATTTGGGAGTTGTAGTTGCTGGGATTTATAGTTCACCTACAATCAAAGAATTCTGAACTCCATCACCGATGGAATTGAACCAAACTTGGCACACAGAACTCCCATGACCAACAGAAAACACCAGAAGGGTTTGGTGGGCATTGACCTTGAGTTTTGGAGTTGTAGTTCACCTCCATCTAGAGAGCACTGTGTACTCAAACAATAATGGATCTGGACCAAACTTGGCAGAAGCACTCAATACACCCAAATATGAACACAGATGGAGATGCTAACAGGCTTCTTCTGGTTTCACTGCCAGGGGTTGCCTCCTGTGAAGCATTTGCTTGGTTCTTTGCGGACAAAGTTGCACTGGTCCGTTCTGACTTCGACACCACGTTGACAGCAGTCTCTGAGGATGTAACACGAGCACCTGCTTGTCCGGTTTTAATGGATTCTTTTCAATTGATTCAACTCGAGAATATGGACAAGATCCTTGGAGAAGTGAGGCCAACCACATACATCCTAGACCCCTGCCCATCCTGGCTGATCAAAGAAGCCAGAGGGGGTTTGGCAGGGTGGGTAAAGGTGGTGGTTAATGCCTCCTTACAGGAGGGCAAGATTCCAGCCAGCCTAAAACAGGCTGTTATAAAACCGCTGTTGAAAAAAACATCCCTGGACCCCACTCAATTAGTCAACTATCAGCCAGTCTCTAATCTCCCCTACTTGGGCAAAGTCATGGAACGTGTGGTGGCTTCGCACCTCCAGGGATTCTTGGTAGACATTGATTTTCTAGATCCGGCACAGTCTGGCTTTAGGCCGGGACAGGGCACTGAAACAGCCTTGGTCGCCTTAGTAGATGATCTACGCCGGGAGCTCGACAGGGGTAGTGTGTCCCTGTTGGTTCTGCTGAATCTCTCAGCGGCCTTCGATACCGGCGACCACGGTATCCTTCTGGGATGCCTCGCAGAAATGGGACTTGGAGGTACTGCTCTGCAGTGGCTTCAGTCCTTCCTGGAGGGTCGGTCTCAGAAGGAGTTACTGGGTGACACCTGTTCGGCTCCACAACCATTGTCTTGTGGAGTCCCTCAGGGTTCAGTGCTGTCCCGGATGTTATTTAATAGGGCTGGGCGGTTTCGTTCGTTAATTTCGTAATTCGTTATTGATTCGTATTTAGCTTACGATCCGATATTGAACCACTCAGGAGCAACTAAAAATCGAAACGAATTTTTTAATTCATTTTGTAATTGTTTTGAAATCATTTCGAAATCATTTCGAAATCGTTTCGAAATCGTTTCGAAATCGTTTCGTTATTATTTTCGTATGTCTGGTGCAAGTTTTATAGTTGTTGTTTGTTTTATCAGTGATAAAAAAATAAATTATCACACCAACAGTCAACAACAGAGGGAGAGGGAAGCTTCAGAAGTTCCCCCTGTCCCATTTGGAGGGTTTTTTAGCGTATTGCGCAATCGCGTCCGCCATTAACGAATCGATTCGTAATCGATTCGTAATTGTTTCGTAATTTCCGAAATTTCGTATATTTCGAACTTTTTTAAAGAAAAATTTCGGAATTCTTTTTAAAAAACCAAACGCAAAACCCCCCTAAAAACGAATCGAGTTTAGAAACAATTTTTTCCGTGGTTGCCCAGCCCTATTATTTAACATCTATATGAAGCCACTGGGGGAGATCATCCAGAGTTTCGGAGCAAGGTGTTATCTGTACACAGATGACATTCAAATCCTGTTCAACCCCACAACAATTGTCTTGTGGGGTTCCTCTGGGCTCTATACTGTCTCCCATGTTGTTTAACATCTACATGAGGCCTCTGAGGGAGGTCATCCCGAGTTTTGGGGTGCGGTGTCACCTGTCCGCAGATGACATCCAACTCTGTCACTCCTTCCCACCTGTTACTACGGAAGCTGTCCAGACCTTGAACTGGCTGCTGTGTCGGACTGGATGAGGGCTAACAAATTGAAATTGAATCCAGACAAGGCAGAGGTCCTCCTGGTCAGTCGAAAGGCCGAACAGGGCATAGGGTTACAGCCTGTGTTGGATGGGGTTACTCTCCCCCTGAAGACGCAGGTTCGCAGCTTGGGAGTGATCATGGATTCATCGCTGAGCCTGAAACCCCAGGTTTTGAAGGTGGCCAGGGGAGCTTTAGCACAGCTAAAACTTGTGCGCCAGCTGCGCCTGTACCTTGGGAAGTCTGATTTGGCCACTGTGGTCCACACTCTGGTTACATCCCGAATAGATTACTGCAACACGCTCTACGTGGGGCTGGTTTTGAAGAGGGTTCAGAAACTTCAGTTAGTTCAACGGGTGGCAGCCAGATTACTAAGTGGGGCGGCATAGAGTGAGCATACCACCCCCCTGTTATGCCAGTTCCACTGGCTGTCGGTCCATCTCTGAGCCCAATTCAAAGTGCTGGTTTTGACCTATAAAGCTCTATATGGTTTGAGCTCAGCTTATTTGTCCGAACGCATCCACCCCTATGTTCCACCTCGTAATCTAAGATTATCCGGGGAGGCCCTGCTCTAGCTCCCGTCAACAGTGCCAATGCGGCTGGCCGGGATGAGGAGCAGGGCCTTCTCCGCTGTGGTCCCCCACCTATGGAACACACTCCCAAACGAAGTAAGATCTGCTCGAGGGAGCTCCTGACCTTTAGAAAAAAATTAAAATCATGGTTCTGAGACCAGGCAAAAGATGTATGCAGCTTTTAGTGAGACAAGGACTGGAACGGCGACTCAACTGATGAGATTGTTTTATGGTTTTAATAACTGTTTTGATATTTGGTGATGTACTGTTCACCTACAATTAAAGAGCATTCTGAACTCCACCAATGATGGAATTGAACCAAATATGGCACACAGAACTCCCACAACAAACAGAAAATATATATCAGAAACTTACCAGCATTAATGCACAGCTGGAGATAAAAGTAGCAAGCCATAGGAGTCTGGGTATTGCGATTCCTTGGGGGATGTGTGTCCTTCTCAGGTTGTACCACACTCCCCATGCGAGGAGGAAGAGGACAAAAATGCTCAGGTAGGACACCAGCATCCATAGAAGCGAAGTCAACACCATTCCTTTGGCTCGGCGGCGACGGAAAGATCTCTTCTCATCCCTGGCGATTTCAGAGGTTTGGCCCCATCTCAATCCGTCCGTTTATAACGAACCCGTTGTGAAAAGAACCCTGCCTCCCACATGAGAAGGCAATCGACGTCTAGCCCTTGCCTTGACTGCATTTGCATTATTTTAACGGGGATTACTATTCATCAAAGCTAATTAGGTATTTCATCAAGAATTGCGAGAGCAAAGTTCCTTTTAATTGCAAACGAAGACTCCACATGAAGGATCTTTTCGCAATGGCGATTGCGATCCGGAGGCTTTGCAAGGCATAATGCTCTCAAATATGCTCAAAGCATCCAGCACACGGTGTGCTCCCTCTTTAAGCCTCTGTGGGAAGGGATTTTCGTTTGCCCCCATTTTTGGAAAATGACGTGCAAAGATGGCCTCGTTCTTTCATCCGCATGTGATAAACACGAGCACAACCACAACCAGGAATAAGTCGGCCTGATGCTGTAGTTCATAGGATCCTAGAGTTGGAAGAGACCTCATGGGCCACCCAGTCCAACCCCATTTTGCCAAAAACCAGGAAAATCACATTCAAAGCCTCCCCAACAGATGGCCATCCACCCTCAGCTTTAAAGCTTCCAAAAGAAGAGCCTCCACCACACTCCGGGGCAGAACAACTCTCACAGTTAGGAAGCTCTTCCAAATTGTGCGAGAGGTGGATGGTATCAGCAGAGGCGACCCTAGGTAATTTTCAACGGTAAGCAAACAGTATTTTGGCACACACCCCCAACCAATCATTGATATGTATTTTCTGTTCGTCATGGGAGTTCTGTGTGCCATATTTGGTTCAATTCCATCATTGGTGGAGTTCAGAATGCTCTTTGATTGTAGGTGTATACATCCCAGGAAGTACAGAGGCTGGATGGCCATCTGTCAGGGGTGATTTGAATGCAATATTCCTGCTTCTTGGCAGGGGGTTGGACTGGATGGCCCATGAGGTCTCTTCCAACTCTTTGATTCTATGATTCTATGATTCTATCACAACGTGTATTAAGGGGTCGCAGCATTAGGAAGGTAGAGAAATACTGATCTAAGTCATGAATCAAGATCCCGAACAGGACTGGGCCCATAACCCTGCTGATGGCACTCCTCACGTCTTGCCAGGATGAAGAGGAAGCATTGGGTATGTTTGCTTAACCAGTTCCAGGTCCACCTCATGTTACCTAACCCACATTGGCTTAGTTTCCTTGCCAGGATGTCATTGTGACCTTATAGAAGGAATGTCTTCCTGAAATCCAGATACGCTCCATCCATGGCGTTCCCTGCATCTACCCAGCTTGGAACACTATCGAAAAAAGTGATCAGATTAGATCAACCATGGAAGAGGCTTATCCAGGAGTCTCCTATTAATACATCTATTTCTTCATACCAATTACAATGACAAGAATTGCCCCAAACACTTAAAAGGCTTTGTATCCTATCTACTATATCAAAGGGAGGAGCAATATCATCACCAAATGTTAATAATAATCTATATAAATAAAAAAGTAATGTTAGTTCGTGCTACCATCAGAACTCAAAAACCACTGGGGGAATTGACACCAAATTTGGACACAAGACACCTAACAGTCCAATTTATGTCCTCCACTCAAAAAAACTTGAGTTTGTCATTTGGGAACTGTTGTTGCTGGGATTTATAGTTTACCTACAATCAAAGAGCATTCTGAACTCCACCAATGATGGAATTGGGCCAAACTTAGCACACAGGGCTCCCATGACCAACAGAAAAAACTGGAAGGGTTTGGTGGACACTGACCTTGAGTTTGGGAATTGTAGTTCACCCACATCCAGAGAACATTGTGGACTCAAACAATGATCTAAACTCGTTTCGTTTTTAGGAGTCTATCGTGTTTCGTTTTTTTAAAAAATTCCGAAATTTTCCTTTTAAAAATTTCGAAATTTACGAAATTTTGTATAATTATGAATTACGAAATTTCATAAAATTACGAATCGATTCGTTAATGGCGGATGCGATTGCGCAATATGCTAAAAAACCCTCCAAATGGGACAGGGGGAACTTCTGAAGCTTCCCTCTCCCTCTGTTGTTGACTGTTGGTGTGATAAAACAAACAACAACTATATTATATTATATTATTATTATAATATTATATATTATATTATATTATAATATACAATTATAATATTATAATAATATAGTAATATAATATATAATAATATAATATAATATACAATACTATAATATAATAGTATTATGATAATATAATATAATATATAATATATATTATATTATATTATATTATATATTATATTATAATTGTATATTATATTATATTATATTATATTATATTATATTATATTATATTATATACTAGCTGTACCTGGCAACGCATTCCTGTGGCATAGAGTGAGGGTATGAAAAATAAAGTAATGAGAAATTTTGGGCAAGAAGGATGCCAGGAGAAAGAGGAGGGAGGAGGGGAAGGGAAAGAAGGAAGGAAGGAAGGAAGGAAGGAAGGAAAGAAGAAGGAAAAGAAGGAAGGAAAGAAGGAAAGAAGGAAAGAAGGAAGGAAGGAAAGAAGGAAAGAAGGAAGGAAGGAAGGTAGCCCAGTGCAGCCCAGAGTGAGGCAAGAAGAAGCATGAGGAAAGAGGAGGGAAGCAGCAGAGCAAAGGGACCGGAAGTGGGGTAAATGCGAGATTGTAAAACTTGCACCAGACATACGAAAATAATTACGAAATAATTACGAAAATTGGAAAAATTGTTTTGATTCTTAATTACTCCTCACGCTATTCCTGCATGGCTCAATATTGGATCGTAAGCTAATTTAAATATGAATTAATAACGAATAACGAAATTAACGAACTGGATCGCCCAAGCCTATTGGTGGACATTGACCTTGAGCTTGGGAATTATAGTTCACCCACATCCAGAGAGCACTGTGGACTCAAACAATGATGGATCTGGACCACACTTGGCACGAATATTCCATATACCCAAATATGAACACAGATGGAGTTTAAGGGAAATAGACCTTGACATTTGGGAGTTGTAGTTGCTGGGATTTATAGTTCGCCTACAATCAAAGAGCATTCTGAACTCTACCAATGATGGAATTCAACAAAACATGGCATACAGGACTTCCATGACCAACAGAACACACCGGAAGGGCTTGATGGGCATTGACCTTGAGTTTGGGAGTTGTAGTTCACCCACATCCAGAGATCACTGTGGACTCAAACAATGATGGATCTGGACCAAACTTGACACAGATATTCCATATGCCCAAATATGAACACAGATGGAGTTTGGAGGAAATAGACCTTGACATTTGGGATTTGTAGTTACTGGGATTTATAGTTCACTACAATTAAAGAGCATTCTGAACCCCACAAATGACAGAATTGGGGCAAATTTCCCACACAGAACCCCCATGACCAACAGAAAATACTTAAGGCCATCCAGTCCAACTCTCTTCACCAGGGCAAGAAAATGTAATCAGAACCCTCCTGACAGAGAACCATCCAGTCATAGATAGAGATAGATAGATATGATTCTCACTCACACACACCGATATAGTATCATAGATTTGAAAGAGACCCTTAAAGAAGGACGATGATATGTTGCATATTCCAGAGTCGGCAAACCAGACACTCTCCACATCAACACTGACAAAGCAACAACAAGAAATACTGTTTACTCACAAGCAGAAAGGAATTCCATATATTAGAAACCAAGACTTTCTTATTACTTTATTTTCCAGATCACCAGACTGGGCCACAGCAACACGTGGCAGGGGACAGCTAGTAATAATCAGGGGCGGCTCGTCCATTACGCGAAGTAAGCGGTCGCAGAACACTCTTTTTTTGCCAGGGGTGCAGAGGCGCCTCTGTAAATGCCCCTCGACCGCCACTTGAGGAGCGCCCCCTCAGCTCACAACAGCCCTAGCAGTCTGGGGGGAGCCTCGGCTTTCTTGCCTCGCTGCCGGCGATCCTCTTCCCAAAGGGGCCGGGCCCTTGAGCCTCGCCTAGCCCCTCTCGTTCCTGCTCCACCTGGCCACCGGGTGCGCGAGCAGAACTGGCGCTCAATCATTCTCCGCGTTCGATCCCTTCCCCATGACCGGCTCCCTTTCCCGATCCCCCGGTGCTCCACCCGCCTCCTCTCCTCTCCCCAATCCGCGGGTGGGCCAAGGGGCGGAGCCGCCGTGCCTGGCCCGCTTCGGGTCCGGAGGCATGTCTGAAGACCCCAGCGTGCGCACCAAAAGTCGCCTCTTCTCCTGACTTTCTCTTCAGCCATTGGGACCAAGAGAGAGAGAGAGAGAGAGAGAGAGAGCCCCTCCGGCTGGAGGTATCTCCCACCTCCACTCCCTCCTTTGTTTTTGCGCCTACTTTCAGGAAAGGTGGGCATCTCCACCTCTCTCTCTCTCTCTCCAGGGCCAGGCAAGGGAGCACGTGCATCAAGTGTAGTTACTGGGATGTATAGTTCACCTACAATCAAAGAGCATTCTGAACTCCACCAATGATGGAATTGAACCAAATATTGCACACAGAACTCCCACGACAAACAGAAAATATATATCAGTGATTGGTGGGGGGGGGGGCAAAATACTGTTTGCTTACCATTGAAAATTACTTAGGGCCGCCTCTGGTAATAATAATAATAAACTTTATTTGTACCTCGCTACCATCTCCCCAAGGGACTCGGTGCGGCTTACATGAGGCCGAGCCCACAATACATCAATACAAGCAATAACAACAATAATAAAACAATTAAATAAACTCATAAACCAAAAAAAAGCAATATATAAGGACAGCAATACAACACACAATTAAAAATCTATGGCTGGGTCAAATGTAATGAACATTAAAAATAATGCTAGGCATGAGCAAGATAGGAGAGACGGGGCATTGGTGAGAGCATACAAACAATCTTAGATCAGTATAAAGTGCATTTTGAGGGCACAATGCTGAGAGTTCATTATTCTGGGAAGGCACACTGGAACAACCACGTTTTCAGGCTCCTCCTAAAGACTGCCAGAGTTGGGGCATGCCTGATGCCCTTGGGAAGTGAGTTCCAGAGTCGAGGGGCCACCACTGACAAGTTCCAATGAATCATCTGAGGAACAGTGTTGTGCCTCTTCTTGTAGTCTGTCTGTGCAATCTTCTTGCAGCAGCTGAGGATGTGATCTA